TAACCTGCATTTCTCCCTTGGTAAACGGAAAACAAGCTTGGAATCTTTCTCCATCATAAGGAGTCTGTGGACATGAGAAGCAGCAGAGGATTTTGATATAGGTTAAAAATAATCAAAATGGGTACAATAGTATTCCCCCTGCAGGACTGCTATGAGATGAGAGATAATATAGTGGGCACGAAGTGATCAATAAATCATAGTAATGATTATTATTTATCAGCATAATTAGGAGGCGCCATAGTAAAAGGATCAAGCTTAGGATTTATGGTCAGAAAGAATAGCTCCATTGAATACCATGGCAGGAAATAAAAACCAGTGTTGACAAGTGAACAACATCGAAACCCTTGTGAATCACACTGATGCTGCATGACTCCGTGATGTTCTTCCACTATGGGCCTTGTATGAGAGGCAATGGGGATGGATGGGAGAAGCTTTCAATTTGGAGGGAGAAACAGCTGTCCAGTGGAAGGTTCAAAGTGCTCTTGCCATAACCTGTTTCTCGTGTTCTCAAATACTCTAAAGGTAAGGTACCCTTCAGGGGGGAGGGTAAAAAAGCAGGTCCTTGCTCTAAGTAAAGCGCTCTCTGTACAATGCAATTTTGATCAAGGCATTTGTCTATTTAAAATAATTCAGTGATTCACCATTGCTGTAGCGTGGTTTACCAGGCCCCAGAGCCTCACTATCTTCTCCACCTGGCTATACCGTCATGCCCACTACCACACTGCACTGTCCTCCCTCCATACTCTGCACAGGCTACTACCACCACCCATGATGGCCCTACTTCCATCTTCACTTAACTGCCCTCTTAGATGTTACCTTGTTTATCCCACTGTCTTCTCCAGGAAGCCTTAATACTGGGTGAGACGCCTCTCCTATGGAGCCCCATCGAACTTCATGCTTCCATACATGGATGTGCCACACCGTACCTCAATTGCTTATCTACCTACTTGTTTTACTACTCGTTAAGCATCTCACTTACTCACCTTTGTATCTCCAGTGCAAACACAGGACATGAAACACAGCAGATGCTCAAAAACAAACAAGCAAAGAAAACACAACAAAACAAAACTGTCGAATGAATGAATGCATGGAGGAAAGAGTGAATGACAGAGAGACTAAAGACGATGCCTGTGAGAGGCGATGAAGGAAAAGTTCTTCCCAAGATATGACAGCTCTCCTGCCTCCCTAACTGGGAAGAAGTGAAGGAGACAATGATTTGATTCTTCTTACTCTTCTTGGTTCTTACCCTTTACTGCCACAGATACTAAGCTGGGCGAACCATGGGATATCCTTCATTCCCGCATTTCCTCTAGAAGCAAAGGTTTGGTATTTGCTGATTCAGTGTCCAAGCCAACTTTACAGAATATAACTACCATGGAATAACAAGAATCAAAAGTGTATTAATCTAAAAATCTGCAGTGTTAGAGAGTTCACCAGGGTGACTGGCCTCTTCATCTTCCCGTCCTGCTGAACCAACCCCCGTAAGAAGGTCTATAACGGTCAGGCAGAACGAGACTCTCAGGCCTGCCACCTACTAGCCACGTAATCTTGTTCAAGACACTAAACCCTTGCTGTCTCATTTTCTTATCTGTAAAATGGGTACAATACTTTTTAAAAAAATTTTGTTTATTTATTCATGACAGACACACAGAGAAAGAGAGAGGCAGAAACACAAGGCAGAGGAAGAAGCAGACTCCATGCAGGGAGCCTGACATGGGACTCGATCCCAGGCCTCCAGGATCTCGCCCTGGGCTGAAGGCAGCGCTAAATTGCTGAGCCACCCGGGCTGCCCACAATACTTTTAAAAACCCAACCTGCTTCACAGGATCACCCACAGAATCACAGAGGTCCTGTGGCTGTAAGAACATTTTACAAGATCAACTACTATGCAAATATAAACTACGTTATTCCTTTATAATTCCAAATGTAAAATTAGGGTATTTTGCAAAGAAATGTATGTAACACAACAAAGGCCGCATGGTTAAAGACTAATAAATAACCTTCTTATATTCCAGAGTTCAGTTGAAAAAGTCAAGAATGAGGGACAAAATGAAGCTGATGTTAAATTATGGATTTACAATGACAAACACAAACGGATTGACTGAACCCATGTGAGAATAAATAAGTGAATAATAATGACCCCCCCTTTCTCTGATCTTCCCCTACACCGCCTCACCCCAGTTCAGTCCAGCTAGGTTCCCTAAGCACTGCACTAGCCCCAGACGGGCCTATGAGCTGAATTCTCAGTAGCCTATGGGCAAGTGCAAATGTACCTAAACCCAGAACAGAGAGGAAAGCTGCCAAGTTCCCATGAGCCTCCATCCTTCCCTCACCTGCGTGAGGTACCCCAGGAGGGCTCTCGCATCTCAAGTCCCCAACGTCCTAGGACCACCGCCCAACCTCCTGACTCTCCCGAGGGTCCCTTACCTGGTAGCCCCCTAAATGAACTTTAAGAAAAACTAGGGAAACTAAAAATGATCTAGGATTAAGAGAATTCCTCACTTTTTCCTCCAAAGATAGAACACCAGTTCTTGAGTAAAGAAAGGTAAGAGAGACTACTGTGACAGCCTTTTCTAAGCCCTGTGTTTCTAACTCTTACTCAATGTCCTCAAGACCTCCAAAGAGCAGCAGATGAAAACAGTGAGGCCTCTTTTCAGATAAAGTAAAATCAAGCATCAAACATCAGAGACTCCAGTAAATCTTTATCTAATTAGGGTCTTCTCTTCTAAGAAAGCAAAAGAACACTAAGATATTGTTAGGCCAAATAAAGATTTATGTGTTCAGCCTTCTGTTTCACCGTATTTCTTAAGATGTTTGTAAATCATTGGAAAAGATATTTAAATGCCCACTATGTATTTGTTTTAATAGTGAAATGGTGCTGGTGGTGGTGGTGGTGGGGGGACCCAGGGCCTTGGTCTTGTTAATTTACCTTTCTATACTGAAATAGGAGATGCCAACCTAAGAAGGCTGACACATGTTCTGTTTTTAACAAAGCTTTTAATTCTCAAGTCCTCCAATAGGTTTGCTCATACCACATAATAACCCTGCTCCACCCAGGCCATTCATAAGTCCTGCCAGTGATGCTAGAGAACAGGTGTTCTGGAATATCCTCAGAGCCAGGACTGCACAAGGAATGTGATGTTTCCTAGGAGCAATCCTCTCCATCCTGAGTCTGCTGAACAAGTAAAACCTCTGGATGGCAAGGAAGAGTGCCTCTAACTGCAAACCCATTTTCTAAAGACTAACATTCTACGTGCTGCCGTCATTCATCAGGCCATTTTATTTATTTATTTATTTATTTATTTATCTATCTATCTATTTATTTATTTATTTATTTATTTATTTATTATTTTATTTATTTAGTCATGAGAGCCACAGAGAGAGAGAGAGAGGCAGAGACACAGGCAGAGGAAGAGGGGAGCCTGATGCGGGACTGGATCCCAGGACCCCTGGATCACGACCTGAGCTGAAGGCAGACGTTCAACCACTAAGCTAACCAGGTGCTCCTGTGGAGGTCATTTTAAATCAGACCTTTCAAGTCTCACCTCTGTGCCTTCTCCACTCTCACTGTGACTTCCTGCCCCATACCTGAATGAAGCACCACAACAGCCACTTGGCTGGTGCTGGTCTCTATCCTTTACTCGTTGCTCAAGGCAGAGAACCACCTGCAGAGGCATCATCTGGCAGCTGCTTAGGAATGCAGAATCTCAGCCCCCACCCAGACCTATTCCATCAGAAACTGCCCCCAGGCAATACATACATGCATCAAAGTTTGAGTAGCACCGCTCCAAGGCATCTGCACTACCAGCCAGCCACTCCCTTTCCCGATAAACCAACACTTGGCCTAGGAAGGTCCTCATGAGGCACCACAAAGTGCCCAGCCCTACTTTCTACTCCTCCTAGCATACCCACAGAAAGCAGGCTGTTTTCCGGAGAACACAGGTAAGAGTACCTGGTACAGCACTTAGCAGCCACCAGGAGCCACTTAATGAACATTATTTCCTTTCCTTTTGTCTGTTCACCTTCGTATCTCCTTCAATTGCTCATTTCCTCTTGTCCTCTTGTGTTCTTTCTTCCTCCCAGGATCTAAAATGGATCAGCTAGTGAAGTGATTCACCGGACTCTACTGTCAGGATTTCAGCTCTACAAGTTACTTGCTGGCGAATTCGGAACACAGCTTAACTTCACTAGGCCTCAGTTTCTCCCTTTGTCAGTGAGGATGCTAATAATGCTGCCTGCCCTTTGGGGTTGCTGTGAAAGCCCTCAATCAGGTGTTAGCTATGGTTAGCATGTGATGCACAGATCAGGACCTGTCCACCGGCAAACCTCTTTTGGACACTTTCCCTCCCCTTTATAGGACTATGGCACTGACCGGCCAAGCCACATGGCTCAGCACCTGATTGTCACTCTCCCACAGAGATCTGCGTTTGTGTTGTTGGTTCTATCTCCTAACTTGGATCTTAAAAGAAAGGATGGTTGTTGTTTTTACCGACTGTGATAGTAATTCATGCTCATTATAGGAAATACAGAGAAGTAGGAAAAAGAGACATAAATCATCCACAATCTCACCACTAAGAGACAACTGTTAACATTTTAGAGTACTTTCTTCCAAACATGTAGATCTCATGTTTCAAGAGGCAAAGGACCAAGTCTTAATGTTCTTGGAATCTGCCCTGATTTCCCCACATCCGACACCTCTCCACACCCCCAGCACTCACAAAGCAGAGTGCTGAGCACTCAGCAGCTGACGACAACACCTGGGCCTTAGCTGACTGCTGTGCTGATGGAAGTGGCTTCCCCTGCACTTAGGTGTGGACTGTCCATGTACAGAATTAAAGATGCTGTCAGAGTTAGGGACATGGTCTGTTCAGATCTTCAGTTCAAGCTGCCGTGGGTGTGCTCCTCTCTGCGTTCTGTGACTGTTGTATGTGTTTGATGGTGAAAGTGTGTTTCTGGTGGAGCCTCAGGTTACCCTTTCAGTGTACTGAGATTTCACGTACCTACAGGAATGGTCATCCCATGAATTTTATCAGCCCAGCCAGCATAATATCGAAGGGTTTTGATGACCCCCTGCAAATCCACGTAAAAAGCTTGCAGGAACGGTTTGCCGCCATTTAGGGATTCCATGGTCTGTAGGAAAAGAAATGGAGAGAACTTTCCAGTGATCTACTACATAATTTCTGGAGCAGAAGGAAAAAAGGAAGAGAGAGAGTATGAATGAATGTGAATAATGATGCATACCTGGTCAACTCTGATTTCCCAAATAAACAGGTTTTTAGTACTGCCAGTTTAGTTTAGCTTCCAGTAAAAACTACAATGAATACATCAGCATATTCTTGTGCCTGCGTGTCTCCAGGAACAACTATCCAAATCATACATAAATGCAACATTTCTTCAACTGATGATAAAGAAATGTTCTGCTTGTCAAACCAGCTTCTGTCATATTAATGATCAGAATGCGTGGGGACTTTTCTGGAGTCTACACCAGTAATCTGAATCCATAAAGAGGAGAAGGGACTTGGGCTTTTATGCAACTGATGAGAATATAAAACGTTCTTCACCGCTGCCAAGACCCCTGCTGAGAAATGGAATATCCACAGTGCACAGCGAGTTTATTTATTACCATCAAATAAACAAGATCTCCTCTAGGGAAGCTCACACTTTAACAACTTTAGGGCTGGGTTTTTGGTAAATATTTATGTTAACAACCATTACCCATTAATAGTGAAGTATCTGGTCCATTTAATAAAAATAGACATATCGAGCAGTTCTAGATTATAAATGTTACTATTTGAATGACATATTCCTAAACTGCTTAAATCTGTAGCAACAACAAAAAAGATCCAAATGAACACACTGAAATGAGAAGAGTATTTCAACTTGAGAAATATTAAAGGTGTTACAAGTTTAACAAATTAAATAAGCAATAACATATGTTTATAATCTCACGTCCTTCTCTGTAAGCACATTTTATAACATACTGGCACGAGAATGACTTCAGCGCTGACAAAATTAAAGTGGAAATATTCTCCATCCAATGATATAAAAATACAATTACTTACAGTGCAATTTACCCACTTACTATATGTAGAAGATGGGACTCACTTTAAAAGATCACACTGCTTATCACTATATATTGGCTCACCTTTTATTAAAGGGAATCAAATTATTTCCCAGTACTTTTTAGGAAATTTATTATTCCATGCAGCCAGCACACAACCAAGTTCTACAGAGCACTGACCAAAGTCGAGTCAATAACCAGAATCTGGGCCACCTATATGGTCCCAATAAACTGCTGACATCAGCCAAATTCACCTGTGTTTATTTTCAATTAATTACGTTTACTTGGATGAGGTATTAACCTCACTCTCTGGCCAGAAACTCCCTATATTCTAGAGGCTACCTCTTATTAAAACACAGTCCTTCCACAGCTTGGGAAATGTTTAAAAGGAGAAATCTCATTTAATGTAATGGCAAAAGGGAATTGATCCCAGTGAGACATATGTCAGAAAAAGGATGGCATCTGAATTTTATGATACGAAAATATAACTGCAGAAATGAACTATTTCATTATCTAGTACACACTGTTAATGGAATGTTGTAAATATTATATAGATTGCACTCAAGTAAATAGACACAGACCATCAATGTGCTCCCCCCGACCACTTATGTGCCAGGAACTGTGCTGAGGTCACAAAAGAAGAAGTAAAATACAGTTTTCATCACAAAGAAATCATAATCCAGTGGAAAGATAATAAGCATGCAGACCAGCATTCCCCTCAAGGGTTCCAAAGAATTCAGTTTTGCACAATACTGACAGATGAACTGCAAAATAGTATAGTGCTGAGGCTTAAGGAAGTTTCAGAAACAGTGAGCAGGGCTTTTCAGAGGCTCAGTGTCTTGCGAATATCTGAGAAGAAGCTACTTTATCATGGAACACCTTTTTCACACAGTGCAGAGAACACCTCGTTAGAACAGTTTTCCTGGATGTACCAGATTAGAAAGTGTTTTTATAGAAAAATAAATGTTGTATACAATCACAGTTCTAAGTCATCTCTGTAAAGGATTTATTTTCGTTCCCATCCTATGAGCAGACCCCTCAAGGGGACAGTGGGAGGGAAGAGCCATAGTAGAGGGGACAGTGAGGAAAGACACTCAGACTTCCCTCTCCCAAAGCAAGCCCAATGGTGCCCTGATTTCCCACGTGGAGGGCACAAGGATCACTCCTAAATAGTAACTAACCAACTGTGGCTTATGGGAGTGGAGGTCCCTGGCATACAACACAGGCATTCCCAAACAGTTCCAGCTTCCAGGCCGTGTGTATTCTCTAAGAAATTGACTTTTATTAAAAAAAAAAAAAAAGCAAACAAACAACCCCACAAAAAACAAAAAAAAATAAAAAAATAGCAAAACAAACACACAGAAGAACCACTGGGAGAGAGGAATTCCTTCAGTGAGAACATGATTTAGGGAAAGAAAGTTGCCGTCCCCCTCTTCTCTCTCCTTTTTCTTGGTTCTGGAAAGTGGCAGAAGAACAAAGGGAGCAGAAGTGTCTGAGAGGCCTTCTGCTTCTGAAGGATTCTCCTTTAGTCAGGAGAGGTTAACTCTCAGGGGGTAAAACAAAAACAAAAACAAAAAAGACCAGTCCTATTTGATTCTCAAATGAATCATCTGGGATTGGCTTTCTGCAAGCTTCGTGGTGACTCTCCTGCCACTTAACTGGTTTTGTTGGGTTTTGTCTGACGAGGGTAGAGTAAGGCTGGAAAGGAAGGCAGGAAGTTCCTTCCCAGCCATGGGAGGCTATGGTCTTGTTCTCCAAAATTCAGTTAGAAGAGACACTGAGCTGCCCTTGCACTTCCCCGCCTGCTCCCACAAGCCACGCACCTCGCCTTTCTCACATATATGACGTACTCATCTCGTTCCCAGGTCGACTTCACATCACACTTGTGGGAAAACTGAGGAATCTACATTTCACTGGAATGGTAAACTTAGGGTCAAGCCTTGATTTTTTTTTTTTTTGACTACTTACTGCAAGAACTGCCCTGTCTCGTTCCACCAAGTCTGCAAGTTTATCCAACAGGCGGCCTCTTTCTGAAGCATCCATCCTTCTCCACACGGAACCAAGAGAGAAAGCCAGGCGGGCTGCCTGCACCGCTTTGTCTATGTCTGCCTGTGAGAGAGGAAGAGGCACAACTGAAGAGAGAGAATGTTCCAGATCAAGGAAAAACACCACCTGCTTTCCCAGAAGAGGTGATGAACGAACGTCAGTGCGGGCATTGGGAGAACACAAGCTTAGTGCTTTGCTGTCTGAAGGCAGTTATTTCATAGGGAACCTTCTAAGAAAGACCTACCTTGTCTGCTTCTTGAACTTCACACACCTGCTCTCCTGTGGCTGGATTATAGACAGGGAACACTCTCCCACTCTCTGAATTCTGCCACTCGTTGTTAATAAAAATCTGAGGGAGCAAACAAGAGAAAGAGGTTGGTGAGACGGGTGAGAGGAAGCCATCCAATGGTGAAGTATTATGGAAGTACCACAGTAGTAGTACTTGTTCTCCATGCTTGCTGGCATCTAAGGGAAGCATAGAATTCGAAGCATTACCAGAGACCCTCCAACAGCATGCAGTCCATCCAGCCTCTTCTGGAATTCAGGAATTTCTTCCATGATATTTTTTACCCCAAGGTCATCTAAAGATTAAACATACTCCTTACCTTTAGTGAACCTGCCAACCAGTGAAAGAGTCAAAGATGGAAGGACAGAGTGCCACATACATACAAATGATACACTAAGGCTGAGAAAACATTTACTGGTTGTCCAAACTCTGGCCACTATACAAATGGAGTAAATGATAGAACAAATGGATAGTCGTCAAGCTTGAGATCCTAGTTTCTTTGTCAGAGGCATAAGTAATTTCACAGGGGAACTCAAAGAAGCCTGGAATAAGTAAGCAGTCACTTAATTTAGAGTCAGATCCTAAACTGACCAATGACTTTGAGCAAACTAATCAGTGAGTTAAACAAGTTACATGTGTAAATCCAAGTTAGATTTCTTTCCTTTTGCTGAGTAGGCTACACAGCTCAACAAAGGGAAAAGGCCTATCTTTCAAACTGGTCTCTCAAGGATTTCTTAAGACCTTTGGTTTCCTTATAAAGGAAATGGAGATTCTATTAAAACGGCAAAAAGACTAATAGTTTAAAAATTATTCAAGTTAATATCTCAGAAGATTTCTAAGAAATGAGTTGACGAAAAAGAAAATGTGGGTAAAGAAATATAAAAATTTTTATTGATATTGGGAAACCCAAACAGATATTTTTAGACTATGAAAGCTCAAAGAATATACAAAAATATTTTACTCTATAAAATTTATAGCGTGACAACGAAAATTTCTGAACTTATGAGCCATCAGTCAGTTTAAAATAAGCACAATGATAAACTGATTTGTTATTGACTGCCATAATAGTCACAGATGAGGCTAATGAGGATAGATCTACAATTTTAAATATCTAGTTCTAGATTATTCCAAAGCTTTATTTTTCTTTGATTTGATAAAACAATGAGCCTGTGTTGAAGAAGATTTCTTTTCCTGAAGGTTTTTTTTTTAAAGATTTATTTATTTATTGAGAGCAAGATGGGGGAGTGGGGAGAGGGCAGAAGGAGAGGATCTCAAGCAGACTCCCTGCTGAGCATGGAGCCTGATACAGGGCTCAATCCCAGGACCCTGAGATCATAACCTGAGCTGAGATCAGAGTTGGATGTTCAAATAACTGAGCCATCTAGGAGCCCCCGTGAAGGCTTTTAAGATCAAGTAAAAAAACCCTTAAATCTGCAGAAGCATTTAATTCATATATAACAAACACAATGACCTTGTAATTGCATGACATTTTAAATGTACAATTTATAAACATGCTTAATGTAATATATGCATTTATTTAATAAATAGATAGATACTTCTAGACATACGACAGGCAAAGATGACTAGCAGTTCCAGCCCTCCAGGGTCTTCCAGTCTCTACTAGTTCATTAGATATTCACATATTATTATTTCTACTAAAGATTAGAAAGTTGGGAGGATGGCAGATTAAGAGTCTGATGGAGCACATTCTTGTGATGGTTCTGGGTCAGTCAACTGCTCCTTCTACCACATTAGAATTTGCAGGACTGCTCAGCCCAAAGAAACACAACTAGTTAGTGTCCAAGCCTTAATCAGATCATAGTTCTTGGACTCCTGGTCTAGTTCTCTTTCTACTCCATTTAACAAATTTCCTAACAGTTCCCAGCTCATCAGATCTGCATATTCTTTGAAACACAATATGATCTCCAAGGAAACAAATGGAAAAAAATTAAGAGATCAGTTTCACTTCTAGAGTGAAAACTATTATCAGGTTTAAGGAAGAGGGGTCTTGCCAATATTCCTTATTCTCTTTATTCACTATTTGACTGAAACTTCTTAACCTTTTTAATCCAATTTTAATTTTTAATTTCTTCACTGAGCAGTTCTAACTATATGTAAGAGTTGATATTTCACAACTTTTACTGATTCTTAGAGGTCTTCCAAAGATGAAAGAGAAAAATTACTTATTTTTTAAGGGAATAAAACTTAATCTCTGTTTTCATTTAGGTACACGGTCATATTATAATTTTAAGATATATTAAGGTACATGGTCATATTATAAATTTAAGATACATTATAGGATCTTAGTGACCTTTTTCTGTATCTTGAAACAATTTGCTATTTCATCATCCTAGGAATTTCCATTATCACTCATCATTTATTTCCAACCATGCTAAAAAGAACAAAACAAAAAATTATGGGACTGCCCAATAAGGAATAAATAAGTACATTACAATTATCTTATCATTCTTCTGTTTTCTTATTGTGCTATCCAAACAAATGCAGCATCTTTTGAAAGCACATACAAGAAGTCCGGAGACACCATCTTTGCCATATTCTTTTAGCTTTCACTGAAAAGCTAGGAATTCAGAATTTTTCATCTCAGCCCATGATGATATAGAGAAGATTTACAAAGAAAGGTGAATCTTTTGCAATTGTAGATGAGCAGAAGATGAAGGCAAAGAGACAGAAACACTGGAAACTACTGAAGACAGTGAAGCTGACTCAGGAAAATCTTGGACTACAAGTCTTTAGGATAACTAAGTAAATTTTCTCAAACTCAAGAATCAAAAAGCAAAAAAAAAAGATATTTATAAATACACAAAGAAAATATGATATTCTAACTCATTCAATAGGAGAGTTAATTATTTACTATTTTGCAACAAAAACCTGGACCATCTTGCTTAGCCAAAAGCAAATGTGACAATTCTTTTAACTTTTATATTTGTAGGCAAAATTTACTTGATATGGTTCATAAATGGACAAATGCTGAAGGTAGGTGTATTTACAAAGGTGACTGGAAGAACAAATATTATGTAGAAATAGAAAATTTCACTGGATTGACCAATTAATTTGTTTATAAAACTAAAAATAGAAACATTTTGTTATAATGGAGTAGAAAGATAGCCATCCTCTTTTATACAAAATTATGAGCACTCAAACTTTCCAATACTATTACATTGTGAAAATGCACATGGCAAGAAGAACCAGAAGTAATGATAAGCTATAATCTTTTAGAGATGTGTTTAAAATCTGGAATCAATGTTTATGATGTGAGTATTTCCTATTTCATACATTATGACTGATGAGCAGATTCAAAGGCTCTTGCCCATTTCAGGGCAATACCTCCAAAGACCCAGGAAAATATGGAAGAAAAATCTGGTTTGTTATGTTTAAATTCTTGTTTTGTTTATCTATTCTTACTTCTGTAAATTTTTCATAAAATAACTTAAATTTTTAAAAATATAAAGAGTTCGTTGGACCCAGACAGTAAATGTGATGACTATTTTTCCTGGTATGCTGAAGGTTAAAATATTTGGTATTTTTATTGGTTATTCTTTTTGTAGACCTAACCTTATAATACGACATTTAAAAAACTTGTACTGATAACTTTGTTGGTACACAGGCTAGCAAATACCTCCAATATTTGCAGGTTTTCAACTTCTCAATTTTAAAAGTTTTGAGTACTGTCTAAAGTGTTCTTCTCTGACCAGGGATCATTGGAGAAATAGTTTATTTCAGGGCTGTATCAGGGAAAACACAAGATGATCCTGGACTATCGTGGTGCTGGAAATCAAGTACATACTCAAAAACTGATGGAGACATTACCAAAAAAAACCCACAGAAGCGAAAGTGAAGGGGCTTCCAATGACCAATACAGGGATAATTTAAGCAACAAAATAATGATAGCAATCAATTATCACCCATAGAATGAAAAAGACATTCAAGAGCCCAAAATGATACAAGTTTTTAAAAGAATATCTAAATGGGGGATAAGGTAAAGCTCTGCTTCATAGCAGAGTTCCAACTAATGGCTGTGAAAGAATGATGAAATTAGATAATAATCATTTTTCAAATAACACAGTAGTAATTGCTAGAGGCAAAAATCATCAATGGATGGCAAAATTAGCGGATAAAAGCACAATGAAAGATTGGATAGTTTGTGTAGTCTCAAAGTATCTTCCCTCCAGATACTTATTGATTTACAAAGAGAAAACAGGAACTTTTGGAGAAACTTGGCAGATGGCACGTTAATCAAGTGATAAATGTTAACACTGCCAGTAATGGAACAAATTAATTGTGATTGACACTTTATCTATTTGTCCTAACAATAATTAGAAAGCTGTGATGAAATCTCTTGCTTTGGTGGTGCATTTGTCAACATATCCCTTAGAGTCATCATTTTTAGGTTTATAAATTTTAGGTTATTTTGTTAGCGAATAGAAGTGCATAACTATTAAATTCTCTGGTAAACAGAACCACTTATCAATATGAAGTAGTCCTCCTGATTACTAACAAAGCTTTGTGTCTTAAAGCCTATTTTGTTTAATATTAGTAAAGCTACCTAAGCTTTTGTGTATTTCTGTAACATTTCCCTGATAGATCTTCCCCATCGTTTTACTCTCAACTATGTCTTTATTATCTTGCTGAGTGTCTTCAAATGATGTATGGCTAAATTTTATTTTAGTCAATATAAAACTTTCTGTCTTTTAACTGGCAAATTTAATACATTTGTATTTATTGTATTTATATTTTGTGTTTTATACCGTGTGATATTCGGGCTGGATGCTTCCAATTTGTCTTGGTTTATTTTACTTCCTCTTGCCTGTTTTTTTTTTTAGTTAAGTAACTGTTGTTGTTGGCTTTACAATTCAATTTCCTCACTTTATTGGTTTGGAAGTTGTACACTATATTTCTATTCTTTCATTGGTTATCCATGATATTTTATCATGCATATTTAACAACTTCAAATTTAAAGTTAATATATATCTTAACATTCCTCCCAAACAATTATAGTTTTAGAACACTAAATCTAATTGCTCTCCTCCAGGGGTTTATTTGTT